GGGTTGGGGGGTGGGGGGGGGGGGGGGGGGGGGGAGGTAGCAACGAATCGAGGCGAAAATTTAATCTGCAGGTGCTGGGATTTCCAGTGCATACTGTGAGAATTCCTGTGATTCATGCCTGGTGAAAAAGGACCGCAACGTAAAAGAGACCCTCAAAATACCTCAAATTTCCTAGAAAGAAAGCACAATGTTTTAGGAAAAATGTTCACATAAATCATCAAAGGTTTTGAGTGCTAGAGGCAATTTTAGACATAATTCTGGGTGCTCTGCCATTTCGCAAATGACACGGACGAGGTATAGAAAATGGAAACTTTGATGTTTTTAAATCGCGTTTTTCCTTTTCCCCTTTAGATTTTAACGGAAAACTTCCATCGTCGTGAACGGGGAGTAAAACACCATTCGTGACAAAAGCGATATTTACTTCTTTGAGTCCCAACCATGACCCAACCTTTCAATGACGTTCGAATCTTCTCGGAACTCCCTTATATGGCTGTTTTCCTGTTCGACACCACAGCCAGTTCGACCATCTACCTCGAATTCATTTTAATTGCCAAGAAGCTTAGTCACCTGGACAACATTTCTGGGAGGAGGGGGGCATTCCAAAGACCATCCGTTATTTGCAAAATATTCCCCTTTTCCCAAGAGAAGTGGTCTTTTTGAAGTTGAAGCTGGGGGAATTTCTTGGAGTCCATCGAGATGGAAACCGCCATACCAGCTGCAAGGTACAAGGTACAAGATAGGCACAAGGTCTGCCAGTTTCCATCTCGATGGACTCCAACGAGCGACATGGATCTTCGGAGATCCATTCATGGACGTTGGTGATGTTCTCGGTGCGTGACGTTCGCGGTCGTCCTCTTCCATCTTCCTTTTTCTCCATGCCAGAATCCAACTCAGAATGAATCTGCTGCACACTCGGCGAAGTGTGACGGCATGTGGTCATGCAGTGATGATGAACTCATGAGGCTGCATTTCAGTAAAAGGATTCCTTCTGCATGTTTCGATCAAGAATCGAAGGGCAGTTTTGTCGCCCATTCCATTGCGTGGTAGATAACAGGACACAGTTTTGATTGACGGACAGAACTGAACTTAAAAACAGGAAATCGTTGAAAGTCTGTCTATAAATAGCTTAAATGTCCAAAAATAGATCCCTGAAATTTGATTTGGTAAAACCTATTAATAGTCATTTTATGGCGGAGTGAAATTATTTATGGGGTGAACATTGTATCAATAGGATATTCGATCCCATTTGCAATGAATCACATCCACACAGGGGAATATATATGCGTGTATCGGTGATGTCCACGCGAACCTCGCTGACGTGGGAAACCAGATTCTAGGGAAATTCAGGATGAATTTGTCATGTGAATACTTCCAAGCAATGATTTTCTATGATTTAAAAAGTGTACATAAAGGATCGTCTTTAAAACCTACAACATGCAAGCACCATCTCATATTACTGTGTTTGAGTCGCTCGTAGAGCTTCGGAGTGGAAGGGTGACATCTTGGACTGTGGAGAGTCACCAGCGTATGGATTCATCATTATCTCACACCAAGGTCAAGAGGAGGCCAGGGTGGAATGGGGTGAATTCATGCTCTAGAAATTCGACCCTGTGTCTTCAGAAAGGGTCAATGATACCATCATTAGAGATGAAATTTAGATATATCAGTTAGGCCCAG